GTTGTTTGATTACGGAGAGGATTCAATATTGGCAGTCAAATAGAAAACTTATATTCTTTTTGATTGGCTGCCCAGTGTGGACGTTTTCAGCTCAGATCCAATTACCTCAGCAGATTTTTTTTTAAGATCAATTTTATAGCAAGAGAAATATTTTTTTACAGCAAGTTATCTTTATGTTCCCTTTAGTGCTTCTCTCTCTCTCTGTGAGTCACTCAGCACATGTCATTTCCTCAGGTGCGCGCTCGCAGAAAGTCTCGTCCTGCTGCATTCCTCAAAGCCTCGGCTTGTGTTCAGTGAGTCTCGGTGTTGAAATGTCAACAGGACTGAAACGCTCTACGCTCTATGTGGGCTCGCCGCCGTAGCCGGTACGGCGTCAACAGCGCCGCCTGCAGGCTCTTTCGATCCGGTGGTATAAATACTATGTCGTAACCGTCAGAGATATATTTTTTTTTAATCGCTCTTTTAGGCAGAATGTTGTTGCAGTTTGCACATCGGAGCTGTTCTGTCTGTCTCTCTCTGTGTGTGTTTGTGTGTGTGTGTCTGTGCCAGTGAGGCAGTAAAAGCAGCAGGTGGATTGCCTGTACGATATGAGACTCCATTTGCCAGCGATACCGGTTGTGCCAATGCAGAAAAACAAAAACAAAAAAAAATCAAATGTAGAATTGCTTGACAGCATTGTAAATTTTTATTTTTTTTTTCGTCTTTTTGTCAATGCAATTCCCTCTCCTTCATAACTGCCGAGCGTGCTCTGCTCCGGTCGCAGTGCTCACTGAGGCGTCGTTTAATCTCAGCGCAGCTTCTGCGATGTCAACAAGTGTTTGCTCTTAAAAAAAAGCAAAGAAAAAAAGAAAAAAAGAAAGACAAAATCACCAGCAGCTCAGAGAGACAGGTGTGCGTTTGTTCACTCGTCACTCGTCTTTTATTGCTTTTATCCGCATCCTGTATCTGTATCCTTGTAAAAAAAAAAACTGCGATTTTACTGGCAATGAAAAAACCAACATGGATTCTGATTGAATTATTAGAAAAAAAAGCAGAGTCTGCACTATTAAGTAAGTGTACAGTACTAGGCCTGTGTGTGTGTGTATGTGTCCGCAGACCTTACAGCGGTGTCTCAGATAGAGTGACCTTAATGCATACGTGTCAAACTCAAGGCCCGGGGCCCAAATACGGCCCGCCAAGCCATTTTGTGTGGCCCGCGGGAGCTTAAAAAGTATTTATTAAAGTCCATGCAGCAGAGTTTATCAACCTATGGAATTAAACACAGCAATGAACAATATTTGTAGCTTGAATAAATAATAATCAATTGCAGATACATGTATTCGTCTGTTATGGAGGAGCTACATCTAAACCAGACTCTATTCGGTTTGTATCAAAGTCTGAATGACTTTTATTTTAAAATATTGCCATATTACCGTCAAATAAAGAAAGTTTTTTTTTTTTGAATGAAGTAAATTAGAATTTTCTTTTCAATTTTTCACTGTGTCCCACTGCGGGCTCGGTACCAAAGGTCCTATGGACTGGTACTGGTCCGCGAACCGGCAGTTGGGGACCCCATGATCTATACAGTGTTCCGTTTAAAACCGGCCCTTCAACAGGATGATGTGCCCCCCCTGGTGAAAATGAGTTTGACACCCCTGCCTTAATGCCATAAAAGTGCCGCACTCGGATAGTTTAAGTATAACCCACTGAAGTTTGCACTCGGTTTCGTTATTTTCAGCTTGGGCACAAAGGGCGCTGGAGAGAGCAGCAGCAGCATCAGAGGGGAGTTAAAGCAAACAGTTGTGTTCTCTCAGTGCCCAAGAAGGAGGGTCTGCCTTTGTGCATGCGCTGGTACTGTTGTTTTTTTTAATTAGGAGATATGATCATGTGACGCATGCAGAATACATCACCCGCTGCCTGCTCACTTTTCAATCCGTGCTTTTCAGCCCCATTTTTGATAAAAGACGCGTTTGCATTTGAATTTGAATCGCGTTTTTTTCCCCCCCACTATTTTCTTATATAGACATACGCGTTTTTTTCCCCCCACTATTTTCTTATATAGACATATTAACTCATTCTTTCATTCTTCCATTCATCTTCCGCTGCTCCAGCACCATTAGTCAGGCTTGAGCCAATCAAAGAGTGACAGGGCGATGGCAGTGTAAAAGCCCGGGCAGGTTGAGTCTATCCCAGGAAGCAGTGGTTCTCAATTATTTTTTTGTCATGAAACGTTTTCACGCACCCCCAAATTTAAATACTCTTGAAAACCCGATAATGTGTATTTTCTTATCTGTTCAAACCACTGTATGGGTTTCTGCCCCCTAGTGACTGGAGGCTTGTTTTTTCAATCAATAAAGTCACAATCTTTCTAGTCCTGGTAAACATTTGCTTGAAGTTTCAGACCTCATCACTGATACACAGCCAATTTCCCATAGTGCATCAGTACAGGAATCTTTCTGCAGTCTGTAAAACACTTACACGCTGATATCCGTATTATCTTTGTACAGAACAGAGCTGATGTCTGGATAACCCGACGAGGCTAATTATTGTAGCTACAGACGACCTTGTCAATTGTCAAACCCGTGTGCCGTTTCCCTTTTAGCTTGAAATTAAACTCCACCATTGCACCGTACGTAATAAGTGTTCAGCAGCTCTCAACACTTTGAAAATGATTTTGGCCTTGTTGAAATTCTAGAGAAAAAAAACCCATTTACCGTTAGGGAATAATTTAGCAAAACGACCCTGTTGTCTTTAATCCGAACAATATCTTAGTCAAGAAAGGTGCGACAAATGTGATCGCTGTTCTCCGACATTCAAAACAGCCTGAGTGAAGCCTTCCGTGTTTGTTTCTTATCTCCTCTGCTTTTATCCCTAATGCTTGCTTTGTGCTCTGAGATAGAGCATTAAGTAGCGTCAACTGCCTAGACCTTGATATTCAGCACATTTAGTGAGACACTCAGGGAGTCAGTGCAGGCAAGCAATCAATGCTTAAGACTGAACCTTATTATCCCAAATGGACGTATGAAGAATCCTTGTACCTCTGTAGTGCTCGTGTATAGTACACTACAAGGGAAATGGATTGTAGCTCATTTCACACCTGCTGATAAGTGTTGTATAAAACGACCCTCCGGCCCTTCAGGAGCATGAGCATGAGCAGGTGCGATCCTGACAAAAGGGCAAGAGTAAAGTGTTTCTACATAGGCGATTGTACTGAGGGACTTACGTATCTTATGTCCTACATGACCGCCTCGCAATCCACTTTAAAGTCCGCACACTGAAGAAAGAACACCAGCGTTTAAAATCCGGTGATATTTAGTTACTTAAGTAACTAAATACTTTACTTACTTAGTTACTTAAGTAACTAAATAACGAAAAAGTCCAAATAAATAGCTACAATATGTTAGAAATTATAGAATTTTTCTACTTAGATTGTCAACCTTTAGCGTAAAAAAACACTACAGTAAGAGAGTAAGAGTGGTGTGATTGGTTAGTCCAGTTAAAAAAATCTTACAACCCCCCACCCCAAAATTGCATTTTTTTTTGTAACCTTAAGCCTGTCCATTTTATGCTAGCATTGCCAATTTGCCATTGGCAATTAAACATATTGACCTCCTTTGCAACATTATCCCTTTCGTGCATGACGGTCACTACAGTGGACAGCTATTAAAATGTCATTTTCTATGATAAGAATAGGTTTTTGATGGCAGTGTTGCATATAAGCCTCTACAGTGGATGCCTGAGAATCACCCAACACTGCCATACAGTGGTCAGCCTTTGCAACTGCAGAATAATTGTGTCCACATTCAAAAAGAAAATTTGGTGTATAAAAACAGAACCAAATTGTTTTTAGCCAGTCTCCTGTTAAACCATTACAGCATTGGACAATATGCTGCGTTACGTTTTATTACATCCACATCCCCCTAGGGGGGGACGCCCCCCACTTTTGGAACTTACTGGCTAGTCTAAGTTATGGGGCTTAGGCCTGTGCTGCAGTTTATTTACACAAGGTTTATGTGAACCATTTTTAAGTAACATTAAGCTCCCAGTCCTACTCGTTAATCACAAATGAGGATTATTTTAATGGTCACGTCTTCAAATAGTCTCTTTGGATCCAAGTCAAAGCACATAGGTGCTTTGACTGTGAAAAGTGCTTGTGTATGTTCCGTTGAATTCTGACGAGGCACATTTGAGACCTCTCTGATGGTTACGTTGGGCACAGACCGGCCATTAAAATACCACCCACCTGATTCAGCCACAACAAAACAAGTCCTCATGAAGTGCATCTAAATGACTGCAGATCCTCAGGACAAGAAAGACTCGTATGGTACACAAAATTACATTATTGATTAAGTCATATTTAGGGTTGTCCGATAATACGTTCTTGCTGATATCCGATATGCCGAAAGTACGGAAAGTGTTAGAGGAGGGAAAAAGGCGTTTTTGAGAAG